AACATTTTAGTTTGTGCTTCTCTTTTTTTTTTTTTTTTTTGCTTTAATGGAACATTAAAGTGAGAGGCTGGTATCTTTATTTCACCTTCTCAGCGTGTGGGTAGGTGACGAAGCATATAAGACAGAAGGGCTTTTTTTTTTATGATCTCAGAATGCCTTCAGGGCAGGTCCGGTTGGCACGAGTTCTGGGGATTGAACCACAGCATCGTAGCCTGACTGTTATGTTTAAGCAGGCACTTAAATAACTGAGCTAATGGGCAGGCCCCCGACTAAGCATATAAGAGACCCTTAACTTTAAAATCATTTGTTTTATAGACTGAGTGGTTACACAGCATTTTTGCTAAGATCTTTGTGAAAATCGAGCAAGGAAGAATGCAAAAGTGTCAAAGGGCAGCTTAAAAACAAAGAGAAAGGCCTGGTAGCACATGCATATAATTCCAGCATTCTCAGAGGCTGAAGCAGGAGGACTATGTTCAAACCCAACCTGTATAATTTAGCAACTTAATGAATCCTGTCTCAAAATTTAAAAAGGGGGCTGGGATCAATGTAATAACCTGGGCTCATTCCCGAGTACTATACTAAAAATCAGTAAACAAATAGAGGAAGACTATATAAGAAAACTTTCAGGTGACTGTCAGCATATCTTAGGGAGTGGGTCCCAAGTCATTGGAAAAAGTGGCTCAAGATGATACCTGCTTTTCACAGTAGTGGTTTAATACCTGCAAACCTAGTTCTGAAGGGGGATTTCCTAGAGCAAAGAACAGCAAAACTTTCTGTACAGGGCCAGAGAACGAACACTTTGCATTTTGCAAATTCTGTGTTTCCTACTTAAAACTAGACAGCATGTTGAATTTGACCTGCAGGCCACCTCCATTTTAGAACATTGAAACCTTGATCATAACAACCTTAATTCACCCCCCAATAGACTCTTAAAAAAGATGAAAAATGGAAAGGCGACTATTGTCAGACAAGAGGAAGGGAATGAGGGCAAGGTGGAAGGGCAGCTAATGAGGGCGCAGATGTTAGCCAAGTACGTTACGTACATCAAATCCCCACAAAATGTGAAAGAGGGAGGTTGCAGTGTGAAGGGGAAAGTGACCAAGTGTGTTGAGCACATACAAATGTACCCAAGTAGAACCCACTGGTGTACCAGTTAAAAAAAAAGAAATAGAAAGAAATTTTTTTAAAAACTAATTTTGTTAACCACAGAAATTTTCAGGAATTTAAGATCTCCATTATTGTCAAAAGAAAATAATGAACAAGAAATATCTATGAGATTTTACAATGACTTACATCTGAAAAGATTAAGTTGTGGTTCTGAGCTGTAGTCATATATTTAACAAACTGGATTACATGGAATCGTTCATCCCTAGTGATAGAGCAGTATTGGAGTGGTCACTGTTAAAATTAATCCCAGTTCTCTGTCCCAGAAGGATAGCTTTTCTCTAGGAGAGAGGTCTTACCACTTTGTCCCTGATGCGTATGGTAATAAAATATTTGTGAAACAAGTGAATAACTACTGCTCATCATTTCTAAGGGGAAAGCTATTACATTAAAAACATAGTCATAAATGACACCCAAAGCCAAATTCTTCTTTTTTTTACACTTCATTGATGAGTTTGATAACTACAAATTTTTTTAAAAGTTTATTTTGAAAAGTAAAAGCAAAGCAAGAACAAAAATCAGAAACAAAAAATAGGGCAACATACAACAATACATATGTTACAGATTTTCAAACCAAGAATAGCTGATTAACAATGGTTGATATGTTACCTATTTTATCAAATCTGTTGCTCAGATTAGCAGATATGTTTATGTAAGATTGGACATATGGTTGGATATTACGACTTGCTTTCAAGAAACCTTAAGTTTTTGCTTCTGTCTGGTTTTTTTTTTTTTTTTAACTTTGTTTTTAAAATTTGTTTCCAAATACTTGTAGAGGCTAAAATAAGCCAGCTTTGTATGTGTTCTCATCTGGAATTTAGATAGACAATTGAGAAGTAGATAGACAACTGAGTTCTTAAGTGCTGCTAATGTGACAGTAAGAAGAAAATGGATGTAATATGCAGGTATCTGATAGGATTTTTGTTTCACTTTTTTTTTTTTTTTTTTTTTTGCGGAACCAGGGATTGAACTCAGGCCCTTGCACCTGCCACGGAAGCACTTATTCCACTGAGCCATCTCTCCGGTCCCTCACTTTTATTTTTATATAAAATTTTTTGTTGTAATTGCATAACTGAAACATTACAGGAAGAACAGAAACAAGCTCAAGGAGGAAAATAACCAAATACAATTCTATCACCCAGAAAAAAAGTATTAGTAATTTTTCAATAGAAAGGTTTTTTTCTAGATATTTATATTTTTAAAATATAATGGAGAGGGGTACTTGTGCTTGGAATAGAATCTAGCGTCAAGTTTGTGAGGAAACCACTCTACCACTGAGCCCATACCCTCAACCCTAGAGTTTTGCATACACTGACAGGAAAACACAAAGACCATACAACAGCTAGTAGTAAGAGAAAACCTCCAGACTTTGAAAATATTTTGTGATATGTAGCCATCTTATATATAGATAGATACACACGAGCATGTTTTTCTTTTCATGTTTGACTATGAATTTTTAACATGTCCAAAAATGAATAGTATAATAAACCTCTATGCACCTATCAGCCAACTCCAACAGTTACCAGCGTTCTGATAGGATTCTTCATCCCTGTTTTTTTTAAAGGAAATTATTATTTTTTATATGAAAACTATTTGCAGAAAAATGTTTATATTTTCACTTATAAATTTATGTTATAATTTAAATGTATTTAGGAGACAGGCTCCTTAGCTTTATAGCTCTACCTGGATTTCAGATTTAGTTGCAGTCCACTTGACAAGCTAGATTTGCCATATAAATTTTGAGGAATAGATTTTTAAGAGCTACATCCTCAGACCTCTTTATTATTTATTGTACAAATTTATATGCAAAGAATACCAGGTATAAAAATATGTAATATATGATGTCCATCTGTTTGGAAATAATTCCAGATTGGTTAGAGTGGCAGTAAGGGACTTCACGGAAGCAAATCTTCCTGTGTGTGTTGATGATTTTTAAAGCTTTGTGTATGGATCTTCATTATCCTATTTTTAGCTTTTTCTGTGTTTATGTCTATTTTTGTGCATGTCTCAAAATAATTTTAATAAAAAATTCAACCAATGATTTTGGGGTTTTTTTTTGTTTTTTTTTCTTCAAAGTTTTATTGATAAACAGATAGCAGTGAGACAGTTTCAAATCAAATCGGAAGTACAGTTTCAACAAATAATACACTGCATATATTCTTAGTGGTTAATTGCTGTACAAGATGCGGACTTGAGATCCTATTTACAAACACCATTAGAACAAATCATTCTATTCATTAAGAGAAT